TCCCAGGACCCCGGGATCATGACCTGGGCCGAAGGCAGACGCTTAACGACTGAGCCACCCAGGCACCCCTAATAAACCATTCTTAAGCAGTATCTGTCTTAATCTGTTTGGGCTGCTATAACAAAAATATTAGTCTGGGTGGCTTAAACAAGCAACATTTATTTCTCAGAGTTCTGGAGTCTGGGAAGTCCAAGATCAAGGCATTGGTAGACTCTGTGTGCTGAGAGGCCGGCCTGCCTTCTGGTTCACACGCAGACATCTTACTGTGCCCTCACTTGGTAGAAGGGGGCACAGGAGCTCTCTGGGGTCTCTTGTATAAGGGCACTAATCCCATTCATGAGGGCTCCCCCCTCACAGCCTACTCACTTTCCCAAAGCCCTATCTCCTAATACCATCACATTAGGGGTTAGGATTTCTAAGTTTGCATTTTGGTGGAACATAAACATTCAGTCTCTAGCAGTTTCACTTTCAGGTAGAATTGACTACATTTTCTTTTGTGCCCCAGCTTTATCCAGCACATACTTATATATCTTTAGCTTGTTATTATACTTTATTTAGGGGACTGTCTTTCTGGGCAAGCTTGTTGTGGCCAGAGACCATATCTTATTTTGGTTGGTGCAACAACAAATACATGTGTACTTAATGTGTGTGTATTGACTGAGTGATGACTGTGCATTCTAGTTTAAAAAATTTGGACTTTATAAGCAACAGAGAACCAATTGATATTTTTTATTATGCTAGCTTATTTTTATCAATTAAGAGTTGGTTTCATAGTATTTTGATCAGAGTGAAGATAGCATCTTTAAAAGATGAGTTCAGTCAGTTATGAAAATATCCTAGAAATTCCAATAAAACATAAACCATTTCATTTTACTCCATTATTCTTTTTTGTTTATAAAGGTGATACCTGTTTTATCAAAATGTAAACATGAGAAATAATGTAAAAAAAATGAACATTTCCGGCAATCTACGAAAAAACAATATGGTACAGTCTTAATTTTTTCTATATATATTCACATTGTTTATTAATGGTATTATTTTAAACCAGAATGAACTAATGCTAAACATACTGTTTATAGGGTTTTTTTTTCCCACTTAAAGTATCTTGGACATCTTTTCATATACGTAAAAATGGATCTGCTTCATTCATTTCATCACCCACATAGTCTGTGTGTACTATATGTTAATTAACTGTTCTCTGATTGATGGATGAACCTTTGTATCCCCCCACCCCACACTTTTTTTTTTTCCAGTAACTTGTAGGAATTTATTGCTCACAGTTCTGGAGGCTGAAAGTCTGAGATCGGGGTGCCAGGCCTCAGACTTCTTATTATACTCCTCTGTGGCGGACGCTGGATTTCCTTTTTAGCTATTAAAAGTACTGCTACAAAGAACATCCTAGTATAAAATATTGTGTAATTGTGGGGGTGTTTTTAAAGGCTAAATTCCTAGAAGTAGGAATGCCTGGCTAAAAAAAGGGTATGAATATTTTAAGTTGTAATAGTTTTTGCCAAATTGCAGCTTTTTTAGGTTACTTTCCCTATAATAGAATATAAGCAAGTTAATCTGTATCCTTACCTATCGTGGATAGTTGTTCTATCTTTTCTTTTTTTTAAGATTTTATTTATTTAGAGATCACAGGGTCCTGTGATCAAGCCCTGCGTCGGGCTCCCTGCTTGGCAGGAAGCCTGCTTCTCCCTCTCCCACTCCCCCTGCTTGTGTTCCCTCTCTCGCTGTGTCTCTCTCTGTCAAATAAATAAAATCTTTTAAAAAATAAAATAAAAAAAAATAGAAGCACAGATTAGTTTTGCCTGTTTTTTTTTTTATTTTATAAAAATGAAATCATATAGTATTTGTATTTGGTACTATTTTAATTTTAATTTTAGTGAGTCTTATAGGTAAAAATAACCTATTTTAACTTGTATTTATCTTAATAACAACTGAGGTTAGCTTTGTGTATATTTTGAAGCTTTTTAAAAAAATTAACAAGGCTCAAATATTAGCATATTTAAAGCACAGAAAGTTCACTGAAAATAAAAACAAAGCAAACCGCCAAACTCTAGGATTACCATCATCTTGAGGCAATATTCCTAAAGCTAAGTTTCTCCATCAGCATCAAGTAGATTTCAAGTGTCCACATTCAACAAATAATTGAAGAGTTTCTAGACATGGAAGATCATATTTTGACACAAATCTTTATATACGTTAACCAGAGATGAGACTGAGGCTAAAGTTCAAGCCCTGCATGGTACTGGGACTCAGTACTCCATGGGAGATGTTCGGAATCTCATATATAGAACTAGTGCTTGGGTTTGGGGCTAGGAAAAAGCAGAAAATGCCTATAAATGATTTCCTATTCATACTAGCAGTTATAAACTACCTAGAAAAAATTAACAAAAGTTGTCCAAGACCCAAGCAGAGGAAACTACAGTCATACTTAGGAAAACTATTTTGGGCCTAAGAAATCCCTTAAGATGAGAGCAACAGGCCTCATGTTTTCAAGAGATAATTATGTAGTTTTTCTAATGAGAAAAAAAACCAGTTGTTTAATAAAGAGAAAGTTGTACTGTTAGCATTTTGGAAAGTCAGTGTAATTATTATGAAAGTAAATGCAACTTAAGGTAGAATAATTTCTAAGTGTGAGCAGTTAGAATGAATAAAATCAAAAAGTAAGGCTAGGCTTGGTTATACTGTATCTGCAGTATGAAGAAATGCAAATCAGCATAGTAAAGACTTAGAAATCTTGCAGTGCAGAAGCCTATTTAATTTTGTATAACCTTGTGTTTCCTGCTGCTTCTGTGATCATTAGAAATCTATTAATATCTTCTGGGACACTAGAAGTCTGCAGAACATAATTTGGAACACACTATATGTATTTAAACACCACTAATTCAGATACGTAGGGTACAAAAGTGTGATTGATATGCCAAAGTATTATTTTTAGACTCTTAGTAAGAACTGTCATTAAAGAGTAATAACTTAAAATAATAACTGTTAGAACTTAAAAGGACCCGAGTATCATGGTTTTAAAAACTGTTTTTTATCAGATGTTTTCAGATATTTTCATCCAGCGCACCTGGGTCGCTCAGTCAGTTAAGCATCTGCCTTTGGCTCGGGTCATGTTCTCAGGGTCCTGGGATTGAGCCCTGAATCGGGCTCCCTGCTCAGCAGGGAGTCTGCTTCTCCCTCTCCCTCTCCCCCTCCCCCCTGCTCACGTGCGCGTTCTCTCTCTCGCACGCGCTTTCACTCTCTCAAATAAAATCTTTAAGAAAGCCAAATATTTTCATCCAGTCTGTGGTTTACCTTTTCATTCATTTTTTTTTTTAATTTTAAGACATGCAGTTAATTCTTTTATCTGTTACAATTTTTTTTGAGAGAGAGAGATAGAGCGGGGGGGCAAGGGGTGTGGAGGTGGGAGGACAGAGAGAATTTTTTAAAAAGATTTTATTTATTTATTTATTTATTTATTTATTTATTTAATTTGAGAGAGAGAGGGCGCACAAGCAGGGGGAGCAGCAGAGGGAGAGGGAGAAGCAGGCTCCCTGCTGAGCAGGGAACCAGATGCGGAACTCAGTCCCAGGACCCCAAGATCACGACCCAAGCCGAAGGCAAATGCTTAACTGACTGAGCCACCCCGGTGTCCCAAGAGAAAAGCTTAAGCAGGCTCCATGGTCAGCATGGAGCCTGACACAGGGCTCCATCTCATGACCTGAGATCATGACCTGAGCCGAAATCAAGAGTTGGAGGTTTAATCAACTGAGCCACCCAGGTGCCCCTCCAGATTTTTTTTAAATGCAATTTTACATACATAGTTTGGTACTTTTGCTTCAGTGGGCTCATAATTTATATCAAGTTTTACAACTTGCTTTTCTTTTTTTCCCACTGTTTATTATCATGGTACCTATAATAGAATATAAGCAAGTTAATCTGTATCCTTACCTATCGTGGATAGTTGTTCTATCTTTTCTTTTTTTTAAGATTTTATTTATTTATTTGAGAGAGAGAGACACAGCATGAGAGGGGAAAGGGTCAGAGGGAGAAGCAGGCTCCCCGCTGAGCCAGGAGCCCGATGTGGGACTAGATCCCAGGACTTCGGGATCATGACCTGAGCCGAAGGCAGATGCTTAACCAACTGAGCCACCCTGGGGCCCTAGTTTTTCTTTTGATGCACAGTTGTTTCCAGTTTTTTTCTATTGTAAACACCCAAAGGTTTATTTTAAAATTCAGCTTGAACTTTAATTCCTGTTAAGGAATTAAAAGCTTTTATTATAGAAGCATTTCATCTTTCTAGATCTTGAGGCACACTTAAAACTTAAAATTTTTGATATATCAGTTCTTGTTCAAATACTTAGTAGAAACATTAGGGTGAAGTTTAAATGTAAACATGTACTTAAAATTTTTTTTATTTTATTATTTTTTAATTTTTTAATTTTTTTTTTCAAGATCTTATTTATTTACTTGACAGAGAGAGAGCAAGCACAAGCAGGGGGAGCAGCAGGCCAAGGAAAAGAGAGGAACAGGCTCCTTGTGAGCAGGGAGCCCAATATGGGGCTCGATCCCAGGACTCTGGGAACATGACCTGAGCCGAAGGCAGACCCTTAACTGAGCCACCCAGGCGTCCCTAAAAATTTTTTTTTAATAACTTCCCATCTTCTACCATAACCCTGCTTCCCTCTTGGCTCAAACAGTTGTAAATGGCATGTTTCGAAAGCTCTGATTCTACTAATGATTTCTCCTAATTCCTCAATTTATATGACTTAGTTAACTTCTCTTCCACCACTTTTCTTTTTCAGGAGTCTGTGAAAAATCTTTCTTTGAAATAAGATTATAAAACCACCTAAATAGTTACTTAGATTTGTGAGAGACTATTTCCATGACATCCCATTTGTTGATTTTTTTTTTTTTTTTCAAAATTAGATGGTATAAATTTAGGGGGGAACTTTATGTTTCTTTTTTGTTTTTTTGGATTCTGTTAATGCTATTTCATTTTTCCATGACAGATTCAAAAGCTTTGTGACAGAGTGGCTTCATCTACTTTACTAGATGATCGAAGAAATGCTGTGCGTGCTCTCAAATCATTATCTAAGGTCAGTAACGCTTTATCACTTACTAAGTTTATTAAATTGGACATTAGTTACTTTATTTATTTTTTTTAAAGAGTTCATTTATTTATTTGACAGAGAGAGAGATAGTGAGAGAGGGAACACAAGCAGGGGGAGTGGGAGAGGGAGAAGCAGGCTTCCCGCGGAGCAGGGAGCCTGATGTGGGACTCGATCCCAGGACGCTGGGATCATGACCTGAGCTGAAGGCAGACGCTTAACGACTGAGCCACCCAGGTGCCCCCAGACATTAGTTACTTTAATAACATTTTTCTTTTATGCAGAAATACCGCTTGGAAGTGGGTATACAAGCTATGGAACATCTTATCCATGTATTACAAACAGATCGGTAAGTCTCTTTTTAATGATTTTTCTCCCTAATTTTTCTTGCAATTTTAATTAATTTGTTTTAGAATTACTATTCTAGAAATGATTAACTTATTAAGGTTATTAAGTTTTTATTGTCAGTTGTCGTTTCAATAAATATTGGACACAAGGAGCAAACCACTGTGCTAAGCATTGAGACAGACATAATCTCAGGGGTTGAAATCTTTCCATTATATAAAATGAAATGAAGTGACTTCTCATGAAAAGCTGAAGATTTGGGGTTTGAATTGGGCAATTGGATGTTCTGATACTCACTTAGATGTACTCAAATATACTATTCTATAATACAGTATACATATTATTGTATATCATTTATCCAGACTTGCTTTTTCGGAGAAATAAACTGGACTAATAGAGTGAAGTGTTAAATCTGAGCATGTCCTAAGAGACATGTTAAATCTGAGCATGTCCTAAGAGAAAGGTCACTCAGCCTATTTTTATCTCTTTCAATTTCTCTTTAAGAGATTTTATCTGCATTTTTTTTTTTAAGATGTATTTATTTTACAGAGAGAGTGAGTGCACATGCAGGAGGGAGGGGCAGAGGAAGAAGGAGAGAGATTTTTTTTTTTTAAGATTTTATTTATTTATTTGTCAGAGAGAGAGAGAGAGAAAGAGCACAAGCAGGGTTAGTGGCAGGCAGAAGGAGAGGGAGAAGCAGGCTCCCCGCTGAGCAGGGAGCCCAATGTAGGACTTGATCCCAGGACCCTGGGATCATGACCTGAGCCGAAGGCAGTTGCTTAACCGACTCAGCCACCCAGGAGCCCGAAGGAGAGAGATTCTTAAGCAGACTCCCTGCTCAGCCCAGAGCCTGATTCAGGGCTCTATCTCACGATCCCGATATCGCCACCTCAGCCAAAACTAAGAGTCAAGCACTTAACCGACTGGGCCATCCAGACACCCTGCATCTTTGGTTTTAATTAACAGCTGTGCATGGATAGCTTTCAAAAATCTTACCTCTAATTAAATATATATTATAACCTTTAACTGCTCAGTGGACATTTTTACCATATCAAGATATCTCACAGATATCTCAAATTCAGAATGTTCAAGAGTTAATTTATCTCTTGTTTTCCTGCTCCTAACTGCCTCCTCCCACCATCTCCTTCAACTGCCTTTTGACCCAAGTCCAACCTAGTTGGTATTGCCTTTCCATTCAGGCAAGAAACTATAGGATTCGTGCTGAACTTAGCGCTCTCCTTAACCCATTACACTCATCTAGACCAAAACCCAGCTGGAATCCATGAATTTCTCCCGATTTCCTTTTTTAATCTTTAGTTCTGGCTCAGTATCAATCACTGAAACCATTTTCAGAGCCACTATATTAGTTATCTTTATTATTATTATTGCTTTTGCTGTATAACAAATTACCTCAAAACTTGGTGGCTCAAAATAATCAATATTTATTATCTCACACTTTTTGTGGATCAGAAATTCAGCAGTGACTTAGCTAGGTGGTTCTGGTTCAGGGTCTCTTATGAAGTTGTAGTCAAGATTTCAGCCAGGACTGCAGTCATCTGAAGGCTCGGTTGGGAAGATCTGATTCCAAGATGGCTCAGTTACTTTGCTGATGGCAGGAGGCTTCATTACCTCACCATGTTGCTCTCTTTATAAGGCTGCTTGAGCGTCCTTATGATACGGTAACTGGCTTCTCCCAGAACAGGCAATCCTAGAGACAGAGTAAAGAGAAAGCCACAAGGCCTTTTAGGACTTAGTCTCACAAGTCACATACCATCAATTCTACCACATTCTGTTTGTTAAAAGCAAGTTAATAAATACAGCGTATGCCTAAGAGGAGAATTAGATTCTATCCCTTAAAGGATCTGTATCAAAGAGTTTTTGAACATAGTTTAAAACCACCACTACCTCCAAACTGTATTCTTTGTCTCCATTCAGTCTATGCATTATAAGTCTGATGTATAAACCTTTTTTTACTTAATGCATTTCAGCAGCTCAGTGCAATGTGAAGTCTAAGTTGTTTTTTTTTTTAAGATTTTGTTTATTTATTTGAGAGAGACAGAGAGAGCACAGCAGGGGGAGGGACAGAGGGAGAGGGAGAAGCAGACTCCCAGCAGAGCAGGGAGCCCGACTCGGGGCTTGATCCCAAGACCCTGGGATCAGACCCTGGAGATCATGACCTGAGCCCAAGACAGACTCCCAACCAAATGAGCCATCCAGGCACCCCTGAAGTCTAAGTTCTTAAACAAAGCAAAGCATATAAGCTTTTTAAAGGTCTTGGTATTGCCTGTCTAACCTCAGAGCCTCTTTTTCAGTTATATTTCAGCAATGCCCAACTGCTTGTTCATACCAGTTAGGACCTTTCCTCTTCTCAGACAGTACAACCCACATTGACTACCTTTTCAAAGCCAACTAATTCTAATGCATTTGAATAAATGCATTGGATATGTTAGGATTATCTGTTTTATTGACATCATAGTGAGTAACTGTGGTAGGCAAAATAATAGCCCCCCAAGGATGTTCACATCCTTATTACCACAGCCTATGCATGTTACCTTAGAGGGCAAAAGGGACTTCGCAGATGTGATTAAGGACTTTGAGATGGAGAGATTATCCTGCGTTATCCCGGTGGGCCCAGTATAATCCCAAGGTTTCTTAAAAGTGGAACAGGAATGCAAAAGAGGTCAGAATGAGGTGATATGGAAGATCTGCGCCTGTCGTTGCTGGTTTCAAAGATGGAGGAAGGGGGTCTCTAGAGAATTGCAAAAGGCACAGAAACAGATTTTCCCCTAGAGCCTATAGAAAGGAAGGCAGCCCTGCTGAGACCTTGATTTTGGTGTAGGGAGACCCATTTCGGACTTCTGACTTCCAGAACTCTTAAGATAATATATTTGTATTGTTTAAGCCACTAAGTTTGTGGTAATTTGTTATAGCATCAATTGAAAACAATTACAGTAAACTAAAGTTAGTTATCTGCTTTAAATAATATTCCAGGTTAGAGAAAATGGATCCTAGATCAAAAAAACTTCAGTGTGATGATTATACATACATATAATCTATAATTTTTCCTTTTTATTCTATGTACACCTTTTCTCACCGAGTCTTACAAAGTTAGTAATGAAATGACTAACATCTCAGTATGGAAAATAGAATGCTATCTGTTATGGAAAGTGATTGTCATTTTAAGTGCCCAGCTGAGAATGAATGTGTAGATATTAGATATTCTTTTTTTTTTTTTTAGATTTTACTTATTTATTTGAGAGAGGGAGAAGCAGGCTCCCTGCTGAGCAGAGACCCCCCCGATGCGGGACTCAATCCCAGGGATTCCTGGGATTATGACCTGAGCTGAAGGCAGACGCGTAACTGACTGAGCCACCCAGGTGCCCCGGTAGATTTTGAAAGCATGATGGATGATGATGGCATTTAGAGTAGAAAGCAATAGTGAGACACAGGACACAAAGATTCAGTGAATATGAAGAAGTGATTAGGAGTGATAAATGAAAGCTAAGATGATGGACAAAGTGGATCACAACCAGATGTAAATCTCAAATGAAGCAGGCTTTAAAAATTATTATTTATAAAAAATATTATTATTTTATCATTTTGTTTTTGAGAAATTTTAAGGAACATCTTTTTTTTTAAGATTTTATGTATTTATTTGAGAGAGAGAGAGAGAGTGTGAGAAACAGCATGAGAGGGGAGAGGGTCAGAGGGAGAAGCAGGCTCCCCGCTGAGCCAGGAGCCCGATGTGGGACTCGATCCCAGCACTCTGGGATCATGACCCAAGCGGAAGGCAGTCGCTTAACCAGCTGAGCCACCCAGGCGCCTGAGGAACATCTTTTAAGAGAATATTAAGGAACTGGGAATAGAAAGAAATTCCTCAAAATGATAAAGAGAATCTATGAAAATCCCAGAACATCAGATGCAATGGTGAAAAACTGAATGCTTTCCACCTAAGATCAGGAACAAGATCACGATGTTCCCTCTAGCCACCTCTATCCACACTGAAATTGAAGTTCTAGCTAAAGCAATTGGGCAAGGAAAGGAAATAGAAGGTATACTGATTGGAAAGGAAGAAGTACACATAAGAAATTATGTAAGAAATTACACATATTCGGGGTGCCTGGGTGGCTCAGACAGTTAAGCATCTGCCTTCGGCTCAGGTCATGATCCTAGGGTCCTGGGATCAAGCCCCACATCAGGCTCCCTGCTGGGCGGGGAGCCTGCTTCCCCTTTCCCTCTGCCTGCTTCTTCCCCTGCTTGTACACTCTCTCTCTCTGTCAAAAATAAATAAAATCTTGGGGCGCCTGGGTGGCTCAGTCGTTAAGCGTCTGCCTTCGGCTCGGGTCATGATCCCAGGGTCCTGGGATCGAGCCCCACATCAGGCTCCCTGCTCGGCGGGAAGCCTGCTTCTCCCTCTCCCACTCCCCCTGTTTGTATCCCCTCTCTCGCTGTCTCTCTCTGTCAAATAAATAAAATCTTCAAAAATAAATAAATAAATAAAATCTTAAAAAAAAATTACACATATTCACAGATGATATGATCGTATATATAGAAAATCCTTAGGAATCCACTAAAAAACTATCAGAACTAATAAATTCAGCAAAATTGAAGGATATAAGCTCAATATAAAAAATTATATTTCTATACACTAGCAATAAACAATCAGTAAATGGAATTAAGAGGACAATTCCACTTAAGTAACATAAAAAAGATTAAAATACTTTGACATAAATTTTACTAAAAAAGTACAAGAATTGTTCACTGGAAACCACAACACATTATTGAAAGAAATTACCCGAGACACAAATAAATGAAAAGACATTCTGTGTTCATGGACAGAAAGAAGGAATTATTATTAAGATAGTAATACACCCCAACTTGATTTATAGATTCAGACAATCACTATAAAAATCCTAGTTGCCATTTTTGCAGAAATTAACAAGCTGATCGTAATGCACAGGATCCAGAATAGATCCCAAACTACCTTGAAAAAGAACAAAGTTG